TCTGGGCTGTGGGGTGTGTCGCCATGAGCGACCGCACCTCCAAGCAGAGCACTGTATGCCTGAAGGCCTGCCAGATCTGAGCAAAGCCTTCTTGTCTAACAGTGGCCTGCATCCCCTGGAAGGCCCCTGTAGGGCAGGAGGGCAAGAGCACTCCTTGAAGAGGCCTTCTCTAGAACTGCGGGAGGTGCGAGGAAATGCAGATCCAGTGCTTTGCACCTGCGCACAGGAAGGGGAGCGATTCTGGGGGGCCCTGCAAAGACCTGGCAGCCAGGCCTTGCAGGATCAGGCCTAGGGCATTGAGCACTACCTTCTGTGCCCACCGCGGCTGGCTGCATGATCCCACAAGGAGGGTATGAGCTCAACAGCTTCCTGTGCATGCTGCACAGCAAGCCCACAACCATGAGCACCAGCAGCAATTGAAAGCCTTTTGCTCCAGGAACACACCCAATCCTCAATTAAGCAGATCACCATCCATTTACTTGTGACTTGCAGCATGAAGTGTGTGTGCGCGCACATTGTATCAGCATTAGGTTCTATAAGCTGGCCTGGAAATGCTGGTGGCATATTTTAGGAAGTTTATTTAAACTACATGGGACACAACTCTATACATGCCTGCATGGACAGTGTAGCCCAAGCATGCTGGGAATCAGGCCTTTTCCAGTAGATTCAGCCACAGGAACTGTACTTTCATTTAAAACAAATCTCATTGAGGGTGGGATCTCACTTGTATTTACACTTTAAATCTTTATTATTCCTTTTTGAATTCCCGGGTGATATGATCAAATGGTGTTGTCGCTATTAATAACAGTAATAATACATTATGACTAATATTTCTGCTACTAATATCACCACTACTAATATATAGCTAGTATGACAACTACTAATACTGCTATCTATTAACATATTACCAATAGTGATAGCACTAATATCAGTATTAACAACGAATACAACCACTAATGATATTCCCATTAATGATTATGTTACTATTACTAATAGTACTAATATTAATGATATTGTTACTACCAAAATAACAATAATGCATACAGAGAACTCCCCCACCCCGTGCTACCACTACGAGCGAAATAAAAACCTTTTCCTAGAGCTTAGTAAAAGATGCGCAAGGTACTTAAGCACTTCCCAAATGTATCTGGGTTCGTGTTTCTTTAAGAGCGCGGAGGAAGGGGGAAGAAAAGAGGCGAGAGATGGGCGTGGCCTCGAGCTCCCTCAATTTCCGGGAGAGCGCGAAGGAAGGCGCCTAGCAGGGAAAGCCACCACATCTTTCTTGCGCATGCGCGTCGCCTTCTCGTTTAGGCGCAGGAGAAAGGCGGGCAGAGCCGACCAGATGTGTCACTGTCCCGCTGCTCCCTCGTTGCGCATGCGCCGCCCTTGCTTGTTGCTGGCGGTGCTAAGCTCCGGCTGCGTCGCTGCAGCTGCACGCATGCGTCGATATTCCGCGGAGGAGGGGGGTGGGGAAGAAAAACGAAAAGAAAAAGCCAGGCCCACTCACGGGATTGGCCGTCCTCCGACGCTCCCCCCGTCACGTGATCCTGGCTAGTTTTCTTCCATCTTGCCCCCCTCCCTCCACCAGTCCCCGGCGCGTTGGACGCTGGAAGCCAAGATGGCGGCGGAACTGGTGGAGGCTAAAGTGAGTGACTGAAAGAGAAGAAGGGGGACTGCAGGAAGGGGGAAGGAAGGCATGGGGGCGACCCCGATTGCCCCTTCTCAGTAATGGGGGGCTGCCTGCTCCTGTCGATGGGGGAGGTGTTTCAGGAGGGAGGGGGCGTGGCTAAAACGGAGGGCGCGGCCCCCTTGTCGCCAGATACCCCTACTCATGACCCCAATGTAGGAGGGACACCCCCATCTTGGGCATCCTCGGGCCCGCCAAGGGCCCCTTGCCGTATTCCCTTCCCTGCACTGCTGTCCCATCCCTACTCCCAATACACCCCCAACTCAAAAGGGAGGCTCCCCTCCCCATTTCCGTCTCTTACCTGCTGCCCCAGCCCTGTTCGCAGTATGCCCCTTCCCCATTGCAAAAGGGAATCTTCTCTCCCCCTTCGTGCTGTGCCACCCACACCTTCAGTGTGCCCTCATTTCAACGGGGAACCCTCCTCAATTCACCTGACACCTCTGCTTTTCCCTTCACCCTACCCTCATGAGACTTATGTTGAGAAAAATGACAAAAAAATCTTTATGTTGTTTTCAGTTTAACCTTTTCTAACTTGGTAGTACCTGACAGGAGGGGCTGCCGCCTCTGTAAGTTAGATCTGGAGAATGTGTTTGGAACAGTGTGGTTAACTTGGCTGGCATTTAGGACTCTGGTTGTGGTGCTGAAATGGCCCTCTGTGTATCTGCTCAGAAGTAAGCCTGGCTGAACTGAGGGGAAGCTTGATGGGCATAGGGTTACAGCCTTGGTCACTCTAGCTGAGCTGAGGATGTGAAGCCCAGGGGCATCTTTGATAGACAAATTAATGGTGGCTGAAACTTTTTACAGACTGGAGCCAACTTTGTCAGAGGGTCAGATGGTGTTCTCAGTTGACATATTTGAGCATCTGTGTATGTGTGTTTCAGTGCTGACTTGAAACCTCAGTGTGTAAACAAAACCATCTTTGGCCTTTACTTACTTATATTCAGGGCCCATCTATGGATAAAGAGAAGTTTTCAGTGGTGGAGCTAAAAGGCCAAAGGAAATGCATAACTATGACCATCAGTGCAAAATGCTTGTGCAGACAGTCCTCTTGTCACAATATATCTCCGGTGTTTAAGGTTCTAGGAAACTCCTTTGGGGGGTTGTATGTGCTAACAGGTGTTGGTTTTATAGTTAATTTACAGTGTACAAAACTGTGGTGAAGCAAGTGGCTTATGAGAGTTCCTATAGTGCAGTGGCTTTGTGTCATATCTTTAAACCCACAGTTGTAAACCGTGATGTTGGTTTTACTTACTGCATTGTTAGCTTGTAAAGACAAAAATGGCTTGCTTGTTTTTAATGCAGTGGTAAAGCATGTTCAGAAAACCAAATAGTGTAGTAACTTTATGATATGCTGCCTGCTTTGAGTGAATTTGTAAAGGTCACATTCAGATTTATTAGTTAAGAGAGTTAGAGTATAATCCTATGAATATTTAGACAAAAAAAAAAAAAGGCCTAGGAGACTCAGCACACAGCCACTGATTTTTCTCTCTAAACTTCCATAGGATTGAACCTTTATAATATGAGCTAAGGAGTATTCTGCTAATATTTTTCCACACTGTGCCTGCATTCCATGGGTAGTGTTAACTGCCCAGTCCTCTGTGTATTTACTGGGATGTAAATCTATTGTATTCAGTGGGACTTAATTCCTAGGAAGTATCTTTAGGATTGGAGCCTGAGATTGGCCAATATTCTAAGCAACTTGTAGGGTTTATTATCCTATTATCCCCAACCCTGTGATCATAGAATCATAGAATAGTAGAGTAGGAAGGGGCTATAAAGCCATTGGTCCAACTCCCTGCATAGTGCAGGATTCCAAGTTAAAACATTCCTGGCAGATGGTTGTCCAGCTGCCTCTTGAATGCCTCCAGGGTGAGAGAGTCCACAGCCTCCCTGGTAACTGATTCCATTGCTGTACTACTTTAACTCTTAGGAAGTTATTCCTAGTATTCCTATAAGTACTTCAAAGGCTGTCACAAAGAAGAAAGTCAAGATCTCTTCTTGCTGATACCAGAGTGTAGGACACGGAATAATTCAAGCTGCTACAACCCAGATTCAGGCTAGATACCAGGAAAGGCTTCCTCACTGACCAGCTGCCCAGAGAGGTGGTGGGCTCTCCCACAGTAGAGACACTCAGAAAGAAACTGGACAGCCATCTGAATGGGATGGTATAAATCAGTGTCCTGCAATAGCAGGGGATTGGATCCAGTAGCCTTCTTGGCCCCTTCCAACTCTACTATTCTATGATTCTAATGGCCAGCTGGAATCTGGATTCCTGAACTTGAACCCATTATTTCCTGTTTTGCATTCTGGGATGATTGAGAAGAGATCCTGGTGGCCCTCTGTGCAGTAGTCTTTCAAGTATTTGAAAAGTGCTATCTTATCTCCCCTGCGCCAATCTTCTTAAGGCTAAACATGTCCAGTGCTTTCCATCTATCCTCACAGGGCTTTGATTCCAGTCCTTTGAACATCTTTGTTGCCTTCCTCTGAAAATTTTCCAGTTTATCTGCATTCTTCTTGAAGTTTGTTGCCCAGAACTGGGCAAAGTAGTCAAGGTTACAGCCCAGTCATGCCTGCAAAGTGCCTTGGATGCTCTGAAACATGGTATAAATGCCGTATATGTGTAGCCATAGGAAAAAAATAAATTTTTGAAGGAAAGGCACATCCATTCTAATACAAATGGTAGCAAACTTAGTAAAATGGGAGCAGGTTTCATCCTCACATCCAGTGCTACCTTTCGTCACTGCCTTCTTGTCTTCAGGCAAGGGGCTGTGGCAGTGAATCATGGGAATAGGTTACACAGGTTAATCTAGAGTGGACTTTGGGTTAACTGAGAGATTTCAGCATAATGCTGCATGTGCTACTCTAATGTAAGTGATGCTGTCTGCCACAGGGCTTACCATCAAGTGTGCAAGCTTTTCTGTGTACCTGAGTCTGTGTCATTGAAGGACTATTAGGCTCCCTGCCCCCTGTTCATGCATGCTGTGATGGAATACGCTTGTCTCCTGCCCTGTATTCTCATGTGCTGCAGTCTGTAAACTGGTAAAACATCATGTTTGCATACATGTTCCTAACATGTTTCCATCACGGCTGTTCCTTCCCTCAATCTCTTGCCCACCTGTACTACTTTTCTAAGTGTGTGATAGCATTAGTGGGTCAGCCATGTGCTATTCTTAGCTGGGGAGGGATGTGGGATGTAGCGGCTGGGAAATGTAAGGAGTGGGTCAGGTTGGCTGGTTAAATATTTCTGGATGTGGGTTATTAAAGTTTGGGGTCTCTGCGCATTGCTATAAGCAAGGGTTCAGCCTTTGTAAAAATGGGTTGTGCCATCTTGCGGACAGTGAAATAATGGAGCATCCTTTCTTACAGGATGTGCCACCTGTTGTGAAGTTCAGTAAAGTCAGCCTCTGTGCAGTGATAACTGAAGACTTGCACACAGCGTTTTTTCCTCCCCTCTTTAGTGCACAGAAGCGTTTCATTGAACACCATTCAATGCTCTTTACAACTCTGTAGAGCCAATTGGTATGATCTTTCCCCTTGTTGAAGGACACAGTAAGTGTTTAGCACTCAGGATATTTGAAACACATGCCCACGCGCACACATGGGGAGGGAGAGGGGGTTAAAGCTACTGCAGCCAAGGGTGCACCTTGCCCTTACTGGTGGAGATGCCTCTTCTGGAAGCACACCTTAGGGCTGAGGACCTTAGTCCTGCCTGTTCTGGCCTGCTGTGAGCCTTGTTTTAGCTGGCGTGGCTGGTTCCTTCCTCTGTCAGGAACTGGGTGATGCTGCCCAGCCTGAATCTTCCTGGGGTTCTTCAGGGCCAGTGGAAGGCTGAGGCCTCCCCACCACAAGCAGTGCCAGTTAACTGAGCTCTGAGGAGGAGCCATGCTCTGTCAGGCCAGGGGCCCATCTTGTCCAGCCTTCTGTTCACCACAGCAGCATTTAGAGCCCTGGCCCCACCCTCAGGGACTTGCGTTGAAGTTGGAACCAGGCTCCATGCACACCCTCCCTGCCCTTTGCACCCAGTGCAGAAAGAACAGTGCTGGCTACTTCTCCAAAGCCAAGACTTTGGGTGGATTTTCAAGGGGACTGAGGCTGCCTCGATACAAGGCCTCTGGGTTGTGCCCCAGTGCTTCTCCCTCCTCCTCCAAGGTCTGGCATTCTTTACAGTCATATAAGTGTTCTGCAGAGAGGGAGAGCAGAAGGTGGCCTTCCCCACCATACTCCTGCCAGTCTCCAGAGGATCCCTGTAATCTTTCAAGCATGGGGTGTTGCGGGCTCTGGAAGGGATCATGCCCTTTGCTCTTCTTCCGTGCCTCAGAGTGTTGGGGTTGTATCACATAACATTATTTTGTTAATCCTGACAATATTTCTGTGAGGTGGTACATTTAAAAGACTTTATCAAAAAATCTGGATTTCTGTGTGTGGGACTCCGCTAGCTGCAAAATCAGTGCAGCAAAGCTTCGGGAGCTGCTTCATGGCCCCAGGCCATTGTGTTTGTCCTGGCGTTTTGAGTCCTGCATAAAAATGCTAGTACGGTTGCCCCTTGCTGGTCCCTTTCCCTGACATTCACAGACCCTTTCTTTGTTAGAGTGTATATGCATCTAAATCCAGGGGAAGGTTAGAATGGGTGACGTGGATTCTCCCCTGCGAAAACCTAAGTGTGCCGCATCCGCTTTTTGCTGTTGCTGTGTGAATGCTGTGAAGTCAGAATGCTGCATTGCCTGTGACAGCTTTCCTTAACCTGGAGCCCTGCAGATGTATTGCCCTACAGTTCCCATCAGCCCCTTCCATCTGCTATAGCAAATGATTGTGCTGGCTGAAAATGATGGTGGGAGTATTTATTTATTTATTAAACCATTTTTATGCCGCCCCATTCGCCAAAGCCACGGGGCGGCTTACAACAATAAATTAAAGTAATTATAATCTTAAATTAAAAAATATAAGCATTAAATTAAAAATACAAAAATACAATATAAAATAGTTGTAGCACAGCACATCTGGAGGGCACTGGGATGGAGAAGGCTCTTTGGAGAAATGGTGTTGTACAATACCAAGTCTTTCCATTCTAAGTGCAGTGTGGTAAAAGCAGATTTCTGATCGCAAAGGCTCTGTCAAGCTGACTGCTTGAAGGTTCACCCTTTGTGAATTCAGCGTGTTCTCGCTAGATCAGCATCTGTTATGGAAGACTGCGGGAATCTTTCCAGGTTGCCAGCACCACTTTGTTTTTGTTTTGTTTTAGAAGTTGGTTTCGCATATTTGAGAACTGTTAATCTGATGGGGCTGTCTATTCAAAGTCACCATTTCTGGGCCTAGCTCTGTGTGTTGGGTGGTTTGGGGCACCTGGGTGATGAGGAACCTGGGTTGATTCCATGCCCCCATTGTGTCTGTGGCAGGCATATGCACATGGTGACTCAGCAGGCTGGACACAGTGTGTCAAGCTTGGATGGCAGCCTCCTGCCCCCCCCCCCATAACCCTGGTTAGGATGCAAAGCAAGAGAATGCAGAACACTTGGCAAGCTGTAGCTCACGGCCTGCCTTAGTCCTGCAGTGCTATGAATTCTGCCACATGGCCAGAGGCAAAGGGAAGTAGAGCTTTTGTTAGAGAAAGGACAAGGTTTCGTGGCCCAGGAGTGTTGTGGCTCAGTTTTTCCACTCTATTGCTTTACTCACCCTCCTGCTTTTGAAATCTGGCCATACAGGGGCCTTCTCTGGCTTAAGCTGCTTCAACTTGCCCTTGGAAAAAGCAAAAAGGGAAAGATGCTGTAGAAGCTGTGATGGAGATTGGAGTTAAGGGCCAGTTTAGGGTCTGAGCCCTTGCATTCCATGCAAGAAGTCTCAGTTGCCATCCTTGGCATCTCCAGGTAGGAGGCAGCTTGGGAAGCCCTGGAGGACTGCTGTCAGTCACTGATCTGGCTCGCATGACTGCCTGTGTGGTTAACAAGCCAGGGCTGCTGGCTAGCCTTGCTGTGCCTGCTTGCCCAGCTTGCTTAATAGCCCTCAGTGGTGTGCCATGCTATGCTGTCCAAACACAGCAAATGAGGTGCTGTTGCCATGGTTCTTGCACCACCCAGCATCCATCTTAACCAGAGCAGCAGTCTCCACACTCACCTGGTCTGCTCCCAGTGCTGCACTTGTGGACCTGACTGCATGTAGGAAAGCTTCCTGGGTGTCTGAATAAAGTGATTGGAATAGATAAGGATGGACCTTATCTATTGAACTGCTGCCAGATGTATTTAGGTTTCAAAAAAGAACTAGAGAAGATACATGGCAGTGTCAAGGCCTGCTTGTCTCAAGGAGAACTAGTAGAGTTATTGCAAATAAACTGTACTAAGAAGTGGGCTTTGTCGGGAATGCGTCAGGTGCTCTTCACCAAGCCGCCCCCACTTCTCTGTATAAAAACCATGCATGGTGTGGACCTGGAGATGCATAGAGGGCCTGCTCCCCCTTCTTCTGTGAGACTGAAACTTGGGTGGACTACCTAATGAAATGGACTAGCAGTAGATTCAGGCTAGCCAAACAGTAAAATTAACATTCATTGACTGGATGTTCAGTGCTGGCACCTGGTAGATGCTTTAAAATGATTGTATTTATGGCAGAAATATGATATTGCAGGATATGCGTACAAATGTTCTGCTCTTATCAATTTCAGGAATTTCAGAGCATCCTGCAGTTTTAAAATAAACTCAAAGACTCATTAAAAAGTTAGTATGTTGAAGTAAAAAACAACACTAACAGACTGGTGGGGGATGCGTTAAGACAGGTATTGAGAAGGCTTCCCTGACCAGAGGCTTTCAACGACGACTTATAGCATCTGAGTATTAGCTGGGCTGTTGGGAATTGGTCCAAAAGATCTGGAGGGCACCAGCTTGCAGACATGGGCATACAGCACAGCTGGAGTGCTTCTGGTGCATCCAACAAATCCTTGGAGAAATATTTAAAAGAGCAGGGCACCTATAGCCTGCTTCTTGGATGGTTCGGAGGAGACATGATAGTGTCCTGCAGTGATGGGACCTGGAAGCTTTGCATGGAAGTTGCAGAGATGTCAGAACAGTTTCACAGAAGAACAGACTGCCTGAGGAGGTGGGGTGCTTTCTTTCCCTGGGCTCCCTGCCAATTCCATGTTGGTACAAAAAGAAAGAAGGGCTGTTCCCATCAACGGCACTGTCCCCTAAGGAGAGCATCTGGTAACTTGCATAGCATGACAGTTGTTGTTAGTCGTGAAGTCGTGTCTGACCCATCGCAATTCCATGGACAACACTCCTCCAGGCCTTCCTGTCCTCCACCATCCCCTGGAGTCCAGCTAAGCTCACACCAACTGCCTCAGTGACTCCATCCAGCCACCTCATCCTCTGCCGTCCCCTTCTTCCTTTGCCCTGAATTGTTCCCAGCATTAGGCTCTTCTCCAGGGAGTCCTTCCTTCTCATTAGGTGGACAAAGTATTTGAGTTTCATCTTCAGGATCTGGCCTTGTAAAGAGCAGTCAGGGTTGATCTCCTCTTGGACTGACCATTTTGATTGCCTTGCAGTCCAAGGGACTCGCAGGAGTCTCCTCCAGCACCACAATTCAAAGGCCTCTATCCTTCGGTGCTCAGCCTTCCTTATGGTCCAGCTTTCACAGCTGTACATTACAACTGGGAAAAAAATAGCCTTGACTATATGGACTTTTGTTGGCAGGGTGATGTCTCTGCTTTTTAATATGCTGTCTAGATTTGCCATAGCTTTCTTCCCCAGGAGCGTCTTTTAATTTCTTGACTGCAGTCCCCATCTGCGGTGATCTTGGAGCCCAGGAAAATAAAATCTGACACTACCTCCATTTCTTCCCCATCTATTTGCCAGGAAGTGAGAGGATTGGATGCCATGATCTTAGTTTTCTTAATGTTGAGTTTCAGGCCAACTTTTGCACTCTCCTCCTTCACCTGCATCAAGAGGCTCTTTAGTTCCTCTTCACTTTCTGCCATTAGAGTGGCACCATCTGCATATCTGAGGTTGTTGATATTTCTTCCAGCAATCTTAATTCCAACTTGTGATTCATGTTGCCCCGCCTTTCTCATGATGTGCTCTGCATATAAGTTAAATAGGCAGGGAGACAGTATACAGCCTTGCCAAACTACTTTCTCAATTTTGAACCAATCAGTGGTTCCGTGTCCAGTTCTCACTGTTGCTTCTTGACCCGCATATAGGTTTCTCCAGAGACAAATAAGATGGTCAGGTACTCCCATCTCTAAGAACTTGCCACAGTTTGTTGTGATCCACACAATCAAAGGCTTTAGCGTAGTCAATGAAGCAGAAGTAGATGTTTTTCTGGAACTCCCTAGCTTTCTCCATATGTTGGCAATTTGATCTCTAGTTCCTCTCCCTCTTCGAAATCCTGCCTGACTTCCAAGGGCGGGAGATTTTGGAGAAAGGTTTCCAATGACTGGTAGGTTCCTGGGAGAGCTCCCAAGACATAAAAGTTGATGTCTGTTGAGTGAAAGACTGTTTTTTGCAGAGCTATGCAGAGATGCAGTTTAAGTTTCCATGTCTGACTTCAAGGGTCCTTGAAAAAGTTGTTAAATCGTTTGATTTGCTCATTTATTATTATTATTATTATTATTATTATTATTATTATTATTATTATATTGCATTTATTGAAGAAGCTTGCATAGTGCTTTTTTGCTGTAACAATTGAAATTCAGTGGTTTGCTTTTCTTTAACCATGCAGCTCCCTTATCTTTTGTATCAGAAATGTATCTAGCTCTAGTTGAGTTGTGAAAAGGATGGAGTTTTGTTTGGCTGTTTGTACCCAGCTAGAGAATGATAAGGCAGCTGTAGGTGGAAGTTGACTGGAGTCTACTGGTAGATCTTTCAGTGTCCTGCCTGTTTATTTACTGTATTTTAACCATGCTTTTCAGACAGTTCTTTTCTCTCAGAGTTGGTTCATATCAGTCAGAAAGAGCACGGGGCCATACAGTCAGGCCTACAACCTTGAAAGGACCAACACTTGCACTGGAGGAGGAGAGTGGAGGGAAAAGGAAGAGGAGGGAGATAACTTTTACTAGGCCAGAAGAAGATGGTGCTCTCCTAGCAGGCATGTAAACATTCTTTAGGCCAGGCTGATCTTCCCTTGCTGGCATTCTTGCCTGGATTGCAGCCCTTCTTCATCGGCCATCCTTCCCCCTTCATTCTGCAGTCCCAGCAGTCCCACTGCAGGACACTCAATGGTTAGCTGAAACTGAGCTTTCTTTCTGGCAGGGATGGGGAAGCAAGCTCCCTGTGGCTTCTGTTTCTCTGGCCAAAGGATGGCTACCCCCTTGGCTTGACGTCTTTCCCGGAAGCCAGTTGGTGCAGCCTCCCTATTGCTGTTGGTCCCTGGCCAAAGGTGGGAAGCAGAGCACATGCTTTTCTTCTGCTCCCCAGCATAGTTTGCAGCCAGTCAATCCCCATTATCTAAACAGAGCAGCAAGTCAGTGCTTTTTTCTCCTAAATTAGGCTATTGCAAAGAGCACTCGCAGTGGGGAAACCAAGAATCCATGTTTGTGTGGAAAGCCTTCCCGTTATGGATCACAAATGTTGGGCTTGTGCAGGAGCTTGGAAGCACCTGGGCTCCCGTGTTCTTAGCAGATGCCCACACCATTATTTTGCACCCGATTCCTGGCTGGTGCAAGTTTAAAAAATTCATCAAGCACTTCCTGCAAGCAGAAATCTGCCCATACCTTTTCTAAGTCTATATGGCTTATTTCTGAATTAAAATGCATAGAGGTGTGCTGTCATCAAGTTTGCATAATGGAACATATCAGAAAGAACTTAGCAGAAGGAAGAGTGGTATATAGCTGGTGTTTATACCATGGCTATACCATAGGTTTTTCCATGACATGGAAAACAGATGCTGTTGAGCTGGAAAAGAGGTTCACAGTTCAAAAAGAGGTTCACAGTTCAAAAAAGCACCTGCCTTGCAGAGCCCAAGATGCTGTGGGGTGTAAAAATGGGGAGCGAGATGACCCATGTGGCCTCTGCATGAGTGTGGTGAGGGGCAGGATAGCACCTTGTGCTATCCAGCTTCCATAACAACGAGCTGGTGTTACAAGACAACCATGAAGGGTTTATCTCCAGTGGCATCATCTGTATGGAGGTTTGGAAGTCAAGATACTTTTCATACAGGGTTTTTCTCTTGCATAAAGAAACAGCCTTTAAAACCTTGACCTGGTTTTCATACAAAAGAATAACCCACATTTAATTCACCAGTGGTTTGTTGTCCTACCCAAGCAGGTAATCAGACTGGTCTAAAACTTCAGTTGTTGGTTTTCCCCCTTCTTCATCCGCTCCCTCTCTCTGTCCCAATGCCTTTGCAGCACTACAGTACTAGCATGTAGAATGGTTTGATTTTTGACAGCCTTGCTTGCCACTTCATCTTGCCTGGGGAAACAACTCATGACCACGCAAGGTCTAAAAACCCAGAGTTTGCAGCCCTACAGAAAACCGTTAATTCTTTTCAGGATTGTTCCCAGGAATCAAACCACAGTTTGTTAGTATAGCTATGTAGTGTTACCTTTTTACTATACTATGCATCTCTAAATAAATAATTCAGGTTTCAAATAGAAACTAACATGAAAAAGAATTTTAAAAAGAGAGACTTGGATTCTTTCAACCATCCGCCCAGGTTGTCTGATGTGATGTCATGAGGAGTGAATGTGGACAAGTTTTTCTCAAACCATCTCAACAGTTGGGCTGCAGTATTTGCACACATTTATCATGCACCTTTTCTTCAGGACTAGTCCTGCTGTTACCCAGAATGGGACTAGTGCCTGACTTTTCTTCACAGAGATGCGGAGATGCATTCATGGGCTGCCTTGATCAGCCTTGGATATCCTGCTCTTTGCCTCAGGCAATTATGCATCTTGGCTGTAGCCCATTTACTGTGGACTTAGACTAAACCTCATCATTGAGAAGAGGCATGTGGAGAGAGGAGGGGAAGGTGTCAGGCAATTTCTCAATGCGTTTCTGCTGCCAGGGATCATTGCCTTAAGAACATAAGCAGGGCCCCTCTGGATCAGGCTGGGGGCGCAGCATTCAGGATGCACAGCTCATGCAAAACCCACCAGTAGGAGGCAGGTGCAAGAGCACCCTCCCACCAGGGTCCCCCAGGGACTAGCATACAGAGACACACACTCTCTGATCATGGAGGTAGTTTATAGCCATCAAGAGGAGCAAGTGTGGCTAGCCTTCTTTGCTTTGTGAATTTGTCCAGTCCCATTCTAAAACCATTTGGGTCAGTGGCCATCACTGCATCATGTGGTGGCAAAATCCAAAATTTTAATTATGTACTGCATGAAGCCCTGCTTCTATCAGTCCTGATTTTCCTGTGATCCAGCTGCAATGCGGTAACTACTCTGGGGTCCTGGATTCTGTCAGGGAGAGGAAAATGTGCCCCTACTCCTGCTCATACGAACTGGTCTTAGCCTGTGAATAAACCTTTCACTCCTGCGTCTGTTTGCCTGTATTCCCTTCTCTCTCCCACCCCACCTTCCTGCCCCACAGAACATGGTGATGAGTTTCCGTGTGTCGGACCTCCAGATGTTGCTTGGATTTGTTGGCCGGAGCAAGAGCGGCCTGAAACATGAACTGGTAACGCGGGCCTTGCAGTTGGTCCAGTTTGACTGTAGCCCAGAACTGTTCAAGAAGATCAAGGAGATCTATGAGACGCGTTACGCCAAGCTCTCTGACCCAGGGCAGCCTCCCCAGCCGCCCCCACAGCAGCATCGACCACCTTCCGAAGCGCTCTCCATCCACTCTCCCTATGACCGCAGCAATGCGGTTGCCCGGACTGCTCTCTCTACGCCCAGCATAGACTATCCTTCCCTCTACGGAAAGTACTTAAATGGACTCGGACGGTTACCCGTCAAACCGGTGAAACTTGAAGTCCGGCTGGTAAAGCTTCCATTCTACACCATCTTGGATGAACTGTTGAAACCCACTGAGCTTGGTGAGTGGGGTCGGGGATGTCGCTGGGCCTTGTGGAGGGGACACAAGTGCTGCCTTTTTCCAGACCTGCATGAACAGCTGCCCAGCACCTCCTGCTTCCATACACTGAAGTCTTGCAGTGTGCTGGCTGGTGCACAGACTGGGTGGGGGGTCTTTTAAGGTGCTTGGGACTGGCATTGTCCTCCTCGACATCATTAAGGGCTTTGCTCCCTGTGTGGCCAAGGAGGTGAGTGCTGTGGGTTCTGCAGTCAGGCATACCTCCTGGGAAGTAGGTTTGCTTCTGTGCTGGGCATGGGAGAACAGTTCAGATTTATGGTAACGACCCAGACTTCTGTGCTTCGCAGATACTACGTCAATGCCCAGAGAAAGTTTTTTCAGGCTGGTTTGTCTAAGGCAGACTTCCCCAGTCTGTTGCCCTCCAGGTGCTTTGCAGTTCAGCCTTATGGGCCCTGGCTGGCATGGGCAGTGGCTAGGAATGCTGCTGCAAAACATCTGGAGGGAGCTGGGCTGGTCACGGCTGTTCGAAGCCCCCTTCCCCAGGACTTGGAAAGGGAAGTTCAGAATCTGTTCAAAGGCCACTATACTCTTTGGACAGAAATCTGACTTTTTGAGGGGGGTGGGGTGGGGTGGGGTGGGGTGGGGTGGTGCAGTCTTTTTACTCAGCTGGAGCCTGGAAGGCAATGTCCCTTCCACACAGGTAATTCAGGGGTGGGGTGGGATGGGGAGTGCTTTTCCATGCATGTCAGAAGGGACATGCAAAATTTTTCACAGCATGATTAGAGATAGTGAGGGATGCTGGAATGGTTTGCGAGGGATGCAGAGCACGTAAGTTGGCTTTGCAGACCATTTGTGCCTGCAGGCTTTTGAGTGCTCCATCCTTTTCAGAACAGGGTTGCGTGCAAAAGGGTTACGAATGAGCAAACCTTGAAACCCTTGCTTGTCTGCAGGGGGCAAGTGGGTGCCCGTGGGCTCCGAGGAGGGGTGAGAAAGGAGGAGGGGAAAAAAGTGAAGTGGCGACTAGTTCCATGACTGGGGCAGAACTGCAGGAGTTTTTCATGCTCATGAGAAGCCGGCATATCCAAGCCTGTGTGTTTCAGATCATCTGGAGCCTTCCGTAACTTTGTAGTGTGTGTGGTTTGTAACCATGCCTCTGAAGCACAAATCCAATGCAAGGGCAGGTGATGCATTGATGAAAAGAAAAACAGTTGCAATCAAAACGAAAATAATAGTGTGATCAGAGAAAGGTGAGACACCATCAGCTACTGGGAAGCATTAGGCTTTAGCTGTTCAACAACTGGATTTTCTCTCTCTCCCCCTGGAACCTGTAGTTACTTTACTATTACTGTATTATTATCATTATTAAAATACCGTATTGTGTTTACGGTATTTTAGTGATCACTAAAGTGTTTCCTAAGTGTTTTATATGTTTTTTGTATACACAATCTGGCTTACATAGAAATTCAGCTTAAGGACAGCCTCAGACATGGAGGGCATTCTTAACCCGGGGACCAGGGGTCTTGTAATGCGAAATCACTCCTACAAGAATACAAAACAGAGCTTGAAACGCAATTGAAAGTATTAAACAAAGATGCCATTGGTGACGGGCTCCAGGAGAATGGAACACAACATGCTTATATTGGACAACTTTATGTTGGACAATCCATTCACACCATGCATAACAGAGCACACAAGCAAAACTCTGGGGATCTGTACTTTGCATTAAAATGAGATGCAAAGGGGATCTGCATTTATATCTCATTTTAAGGAGTACCACCATTGGATTTGTGGTGGATTGTTAGATTTTTTCTTTTTCTTTTTGTACTGGACTAAATTCCTTTACATCTACTGCTTCTGTGTTGTTATGCACATTACCGTCTCTGATTAGTTTGCTAATCAACTTGTTGCTTAGCCATATAGATTCTGGTAGTTAATCACCATTGTAGATATGGAGAGTTGGCCTTTGAGAGCCATGTTGGTGTCTGGATGGGTCAAATCAGCCTTTCTGTCTCAACGGTTACCCAAACTAATCTTGTAACAGCCATTGAACTTCATGGTTTTATTTTCAGCTCTAGTTGCCTCCTTGAAAGGTCTCTCTTGTATCCTATGTAAAGCTTAACTAACCACCAAACACCTGTTTAAACTTGTTAAATATAATTCTAGGATAAAAATTGAGGATTTAGCACAAATGGATTCTGTTTCTGTTTGGAAGGTTCCCACTGAGGAATTCTCTCTTCTCAGGGGGCTGAACACTATTAAATGAACTACAAAGTGTGCTGAGGAGAGATCCTTTGGAAGAAATTTAAGTCATTTCCTTGAGACATGGAATATGCTTCTGAGGAGCCAGATGAAGCAAGTGTGTGACCCACAAGCAATATTTCAAGCACCCAATAACTGTTTTTTATGTTGTTCAGTCATGATTTGGTATTTGATCGTTGCATCAAATACTTCACACCAAGTGTCCTTTTGTTTTATTTATTAATGCTTCTTAAAGTACCTGGTAACATTTTTTCATTGTCTTATTTTGGAATCCGGCTCTCTTTCAGACATTCAGTGGTAGTTATCATCTGATTATCTGTTTAAGGCTTTCAGCTGTATTGCGTGTCATATTTTGTACTCCTCTAAGAGTGATTTAATTTAACAGCATTTCTTTAGTATTTATTTTTTTGGGCTCCAAGATCACCACAGATGGTGACTGCAGTCAAGAAATTAAAAGACACTTGCTCCTTGGGAAGAAAGCTATGGCAAATCTAGACAGCATACTAAAAAGCAAAGACATCAGCCTGCCGACAAAAGTGCGTATAGTCAAAGCTATGGTTTCCCCAGTTGCAATGTATGGCTGTGAAAGCTGGACCATAAGGAAGGCTGAGCGCCAAAGGATTGAGGCCTTTGAACTGTGGTGCTGGAGGAGACTCCTGCAAGTCCCTTGGACTGCAAGGCAATCAAACCAGTCAGTCTTAGAGATCAACCCTGACTGCTGTTTAAAAGGCCAGATCCTGAAGATGAAACTCAAATACTTTGGCAACCTAATGAGAAGGAAAGACTCCCTGGAGAAGACCCTCATGCTGGGAATGATTGAAGGCAAAAGGAGAAGGGGACAGCAGAGGTTGAGGTGGCTGGATAGGATAACTGGGGAGGTGGGTGTGGGGTTGTGTGGACTCCGGGGGATGGTGGAGGACAGGAGAATCTGGAGGAATGTTGTCTATGGGGTCATGAAGAGTTGGGCAAGGCTTTGCAACAGAACAACACATTTCTTTAGAATTTATGCATTTCACCAACCTTGGTTCCTTTGTACAGGGGTTTTCTGGAACCTTCATTTTTGGCATCCCTTTAGAAATGGAGCGAGCCAGGAGGTAGATTAGGATCAACTGGTGGGAGTCTGCATGATCTGCAGCAAAGTACCGAGCGTGCCCGACTTGTTAGTTAGCAAAGAAAGCTGAAAGTTACCAACTAATCACTTTTGTCTGTATGGGCATGAGAGCCCAGGTGGATCAGACTGAGGGTTCCTCTAGTCCAGCAGTCTGTTCACACAGTGGCCCACCAGCTGCCTGCAGGTACCCACAAAGCAGGGCAGGAGGGCAGCAGCCTGGGCCTTCTGTGTGTACACTGCCTGTTTCTTTCCCTCTGTGCTCCTTACTTGCAAAATGGGTGCATTGATTTGTTGACTTTGCCCTCGCCCTTGAGCAGCGCCACTGGCCTCCCTGATTCAGAGCAGAACCCTAGGCATGTGCTAGCCTGTAGTTGAATATTCCAGCCTTCCCCAACCTGGCACCTTTGGTATGCACCTGATGGCAACCCCACAATCCCCAGCAAGCACAGCCTGCAGTCCTAGAGGACTGTTAGTAGGAGTGGTGGAGAAGGAGGAGAGAAGCAAGTCCCCTGCAGTTGTTCTGCCTATGACTGTAATAGTGGGTTAGAGTGGGTTTCCCCTTGGCATGATGTCCCCACTGGCTGAGGGATCCCCTGGGTTCAGCATCAGCACGAGCTGCACTAGGGCTTGTAGCATTTCTTCCTGAGGTCTTTGCGCTGATCATAGTTCAACACTGATGAGCAGAGGCAGCCTGCATTTTTTTCTGCCTGACGTTATTTCCCTTTGTCGTCCCATTCTGCAGGCCCCAACAGCCTCCCCCACAGTGGCTCTTGGCAGTCAGTTAATGGCACTGGCATCACAGGAGCAGGTGCCCTGAACATGGGAGCTGCCCCAAGATTTCTCTTTGGTATTTTCTGACAGCCCTGGGGTGGTGGGGAGGCAATCTGTTCGTGTGCAGATTGGCCGGTGCATTGTAGCCCACTTGGCAGCTTTGGCATTGTAGCTGAGGCAGTGTTGCTGTTTTGATTGCAGACAGGAATCAAGAGCCTTGGTTGTCCTCTGAGGAAAACGTTGCCACCTTCTCGGCAGAACATGTTGTTCAAGGGCTGGTTTTGGGAGAGTGGCAGGGGGAATAGCTATTGATAGGCTTTTGTGATAAATGATGCAGGTTTGTAGGGCCAAGCAGGGGGAGCTGTGCATGTGTGCACCTTCCTGGACTGAGGACAAGTTAACCTTTAGGCTGTGTGAATAGAACCCGTCATAGGGAGTGGCACTTGCACTTTCACTCAGCATCGGCCAGATCTCATGTACACTAGCAGGCACACTTCCGGGTGTTGGACTTTTAGGAAGATGTAGGCAAACTAGAATTGGGTTCAGAGGAGGGCAGTGAGGGTGGTTTGGGGTGCAGGGGAAAAGTCAGTAACATGCTGCTGCTGCAGCAAAAAAGGGCTAATGCAATTTTAGGCTATGTTTGTAATAGAACTATATCTTCCAAGCTATTACAAGTAATAGTTTCATGTGTTGCACTGGCTGGACATCATGTGGCATCATTTCCGAGCATGAGGCTTTAAGATGGTTATGGACAAATGGGAATGGTTTGAGGGAGGGCCACAAAGCAGAGGCAGAGGTATGGAAGACAAGTCCTGTAGGGAAAGGTGGAAGGAGCTTGGATATGTTGAGCTACGAGAAGAGGG